GGACCATCAAAATGTAAACCCCTGAGCACTATAGCAGACCTCAGTAGAACACTCTGGGGGTGATGCCCAGCTGATCGATGGTTTTGTTGTTGTTGTTGTTGTTGTCTGTGTATGTGTTTGGTAGGACTGGGGTTTGAATTCAGGGCTTCATACTTGCAAAGCAGGCACTCTGTCACTTGAGCCACACCTCCAGTTCATTTTGCTCTGGTTATTTTGGAAATGAGGACTCAGGAACAATTTTGCCCAGGCTGGCCTCCAACCTTGATCCTCCCAATCTCAGCCTTCCAAGTAGCCAGGATTATAGGTGTGAACTGCCAGTGCCCAGCCTGATCTGTGGTTAGATAAGCTATCCAGGTGATTAGATACATGATAGGTACATATAGTTGAAAAGTGTTGCATTAGGAGTTTCTGATGCTCATTTGGGATTTGAAACCACTGAATTGAGGAAATTGTTCCTACAAGTCCTTTATTAAAATAGATACTCTCAAAGTGAAGTGTCATTGATGTTTATAACTTTCAAATGATTTAGCAAAAGAAAAAATAAAAAAATGTGTACAGTAGATATGTGAAAGGAGAGAAAGCATATATGGAGAAGGTGTTGTTGTCATCCCCCTTTCATAAAATGATACAGCGTAGGTTCAGAAAGAATAGGTGCGCAGTAACCATCCACTAACCAAGTGGTCAACTAAAAGTAGAACCTCCATAAGCTTTGTATGTGACCAGAAGCTGGAGCTTGGTGCTCTTGCACATTAGCTTGTCTTATCTGTCACCTCAGGCATTAGGCACAGCCCAGGAGCAAGCTCAAACATGGCTGCTGGAAGCACGTCTTGGTCTCTTCCTTTTACCCCTACCCAACATACACACATGCTCACATACATAGCCTTCGTTAGTTTAGGAGTGTATGGCTGTAGTTAGAATTAGCCATTCTTTGGTTTACTTGGGAATATGCAGAAATACACTTTAGTAGCCCCAGTCATACTGAGTTTTGAGCCAGTTTTTTTTTTTTTTTGACAGTACTGAGGGGCTGAACTCAGTGCCTTGCACTTGTGCTCTGTCACTTGAGCCACTCCATCAGCCCCTTTTTGCATTGGTTGTTTCTGAGATAGGGTTTTGCGTTACTCCCCAGGCTGGTCTGAACCATGATCCTCCTATTTGTGCTTCCCTGCATAGCTGGGATTACAAGGGCATGCTGCCACCCCAAGCCATTAATTGAGATAGGGATTACAGAGTTGCACCATCACACCTGGCTTGAGGCCAGTTTTTAATGTGACAGAGTAATAAACCCACCCTGTTGGTGGCTTGAGATTTAGGGTTGATTCCAAAGCAATGTGGGCTATTAATTAAATACTTCTATATATTATCTTCTACCATATCCCACAAAACATTTGTGGCAATTAAAGATTGATGGTAAATAAGTTGTTTTTCTTCCTATAATGTTTCTTAAAGAGTTTTGATATAAATTAGGCTTGGGTGAATTCATGGGTTGATGGCTTTTTAAAAAAATACTGATTTCTTTCTACCAGATGATTAAAGCATTATACAAAAGAATTGTTTTGTTTTGAATCATTGACTTTTTGGAGTTGTTCTTTTTTATGAGTCTAATTAAACTCTGGCATTTTTAGATAATGTGTGATAAGAGCATCAAGAGACAGAATCTAATAGTTTTATGTACTTTCATACAGACTAAATTGCCCTGGTGACCCAACACAAAATCTAAGTGCTAAGAGCAGTTATTTATTTTGACAACAGAAATAATTGAGTCTAAAATAGATTTAATTCCAGTTGTAGCAAACTTCATTCAAGCCCTCACTCTGGCTTTAGTACTGTCAAAAAATATAACCTGTCTTATGATTAAATAGCAGAATGATGAACAGTGGATTGCATTTGAGGGAGATGCTGAATAAACTTTGCTCTTGTGAAGCAGGTCAGAAGTGACATGCTACATGGGGGGTGGAGGGGGAGAGTCCAACTGTGCATTGATGACCAGCTGAGCTGTTACCTGGCACTGAGCCAGGCACACAAAGCCTTGCCATGTGAAGGAGCATGTGCTGTTTGAAAAAGAAAATCTTCTCGTACATGATTTAATTTTTAAAGAAGACTAGATTTAGTCTCCTTATACTGCGAACTGTTCGTATTTCTGTCTTTAAAGGGAAAGTTGATGTGAATGCTACTCAGAAGTTATGCATCTGTTGTATGATTTGGAGGATTGGCATTTTATGTTTCAGAAATGTTTGTTATTTTGAATATCTCCACTGGACACTTCTGTATTTTAAATAGATTTTAAAATGGTTAGAACAGATGAAGCGAAATCAATCAATATAAGAGTTTGTGAGAGAAAAATGTAGAATTTTTTTTAGAGGGATTGATTTTATAGTTAACAGATGCCTTTACTATTCTCACATACATGAAGTCATTCAAAGGTCTTAAAAGATTTGTTTCTATTTATATCATGCTTGCTAAGATGGTGTTGTAAAATTGTCTAGATACATTTTTTAAATATTTGTAAGTAATCCAATTTTGTTTGGCGTTGGTATTTTGTTTTTATTTTTATCTCTCCCTCTCCCTCTACCCCTGTCTCTAGAATAAATCAGTAATTTGGAGATTCTGTACATAGTTTCTGGGTACAACTTAGCTCCTGGGTATCTTTAGCAGAAAAATTTCTTTAGGCGCTGGGGATTGAACCCAGGGCCTCGGGCATGCTAGGCAAGTGCTCTGCTGCTTGATCTACACCCCCAGCCCTTTAAGAGAATTTTTGACTAACCACATTTATGGTTGCCTTTTTCGGGTAAGCTCTTTCTTAGATGTTTATTTTTTCTCAAGCCTTACTAGTAGTTAGAAAAGCCAATTATACATAATAAGCTGTTGGTAATTTAAGTAGAGAGTTTTCATTCTTCATAATTGATAGACCAAGCAAAAAAGTTGCTAATTATGAAATGCACATCAATTCTTTATCTTTTTTCATCTTCTTTGTCCTCATTTCACTGTAAATTTTTGACAGGACTCTATAAACTATTGTAAGAACAAGCTCCAGGCGCTTTCATTAAATGATTTCTCAGTCAATACCCTGTATAGCTATCCTTATCTCAACCAGCAAAAACCCTTGTCCCTTCCTGTTATTGCTTATACTCTCTCTACAACAAAATTAGAAATAAGGGCAAAATAGTTTCTGCTGGGTATTGAGGGGGTGGGGGGGAGAGGGAGGGGGTGGAGTGGATGGTAAGGGAGGGGGTGGGGGCAGGGGGGAGAAATGAACCAAGCTTTGTATGCACATATGAATAATAAAAGAAAAAAAATGATTTCTCAGTTTCTAGTTATGCAGAATGGGCTTGAATAAACTCTTTAAATTTTTAATTAGGCCATTTCCTGTGTAAGGCTTTCTTAGGTGAAAGTAATAAATGTACTTTTTCTTATAGATATGGTATAGCATAATGCTCTAAAAAGGAAGACATTAATATCAGTACTTTATCACTCCTTTTTATAACTATTCTTCCTATCACCAAATGTTAATCTATTTGATTTGATAGAAGCTAGGACCAAATAGAAGTACATCTTAGATTTGGGGAAGGGAGAGGGACAGTTAGGCAATATTTTTAGTTCCTCCTTGTAGAGAAATATTTAGTCTCCTTATACTGCGAACTATTAGTATTTCTGTCTTTAATAGGAAAGTTGATGTGAATGCTACTCAGAAGTTATGCATCTGTTGTATGATTTGGAGGGACTGGCATTTTATGTTTCAGAAATGTTTGTTATTTTGAATATCTCCACTTCTGTATTTCAACACTTCTGGTTTTCTTTTATAGCATATTGATCAGTAAGAACTCTGATCATCAATTTGCACATAGTTATAGTTAAGCTTAATGTCTCAGAAGAACCAGTAAAGAACTCCTCTGTTATTCTCTCGTCAGTCTCTCTTTTTTAAATTCTTGACAACTAAGGTTATAAACAGTTGCCATTAATAAATTACTACTTCACAAAAATGTTGTGTTTTTCGTAAATTTATGTATTATAAAAGAGAACTAAAGTGCTACATTAGTGAGAGATAATTTTAGTCTGATATTTAGCTTTGGAATACTTCAGTAGAAAAGTAATTCATGATTTTGCTGTTTTCTTTACATCCTAAATAGTTTGGTGAATGAATTATACCTGATTTTATGACATTTGAAAATAGCCTCTGCAGTTCTGTCATTTCAGGGATATCTTCATTATTTTCAAACTGATTTCTTTTTTATCATCTACTCCTGCTATACAGTTTGTGTCCGTCATTTTAGCTTGAAGTTACTTTTCCTGTAAGACTGCTTTGTCAGGGGTGTGTGTGTGTGTGTGTGTGTGTGTGTGTGTGTGTGTGTGTGTGTGTGTGTGACCTTTTCACCTTAAAACTCTTCCCATTGCCTGCAAACTACAGTACAAATTCCTTGACCTTCTAATACAGTTAGACAGATCTGGATTATAATCCTGGAACCACTACCTAGTTAGTGTATAATTAATTCATTTATTTGTTCAACAAGTGTTTACCAAAAATGTAGTATTTACTATTCTAGGAATTGAGGGTAGAATGGTGAACAGGATAGATGAGGTTACCATGTTTACATTGTTGTCATATTTATGGTCTTGATATCTCTGTTTTTTCCATGAACACAACCAGAGATTCAGCACCTGCCTCTTAACTATGTTTCTCAGATTAACTGTGCTGCAAGCTCCTTGAAAGCAGAAAACTATGCTAGATCTGTGTCCAGTTCTGTGGTATCACATTTGGAGGGTTGCCAGTGAGTTGCTGTGATCATCATAATCTGGTCTCAGTTTCCCACTGTTAGAAGTACTTGACTTAGAAATATTACTGATATTTTCAATTATAAAATAACACCAGTCCACATTACAGAATAGTTAAAAGGATGTACTGTCAATTAAATTTTAAAAAAATTAAACATGTAAAAAAATATACTGGGATTTATCTGATAATTGTTTTCTGCTACAGGTAGTTCTTTCTTTTTTTTTCTTTCTAGGCCTTATTGAATTCGAAGAATGTGACCCTGCTAGTGCAGTTGAAGGTAAGTTGACTACTTGTAATGTGTTAACAACACACTTGGCAAATAGTGTCCTGCAAATAAAGAGGGGCTCATATTCACCAATCAGCATATGTAAGGAGTGATGTAAAAATATGAATGTCGTTTGAAGTACTGCAGGTGCTAATCATTACTTAATAAATAAGCAATAAATTTGCCCAAAGGAATATTAGTGTATGAAAATGCTTATTTTATGGTGCTGGAGATGGAACTGAGAGCCCCAAATATGTTGGCAAGCACTTTACCACTGAGCCACAGCCACAGCCCAAAATATGTTTTAGAAAGATTAGATATAGCATGTATTTATTTTCAAATATACATTGAGATTGTTTTCTCGGTTGCCATACATCTTTTAAGTTTTCTAGTGTCATGAATATACTGATCATTATGCATTAATGTCTAGTTGTTATTCTACAGTGGATAGCATTTCATTTATTAATGAGGTTGTACATTAATGCTAGTCAGTATTACTGTCATTCAGAATGCATGTAAGTAAACTTGGAGGAAGGGTCCATAACCAGCCTGGCTCCTAATTTAGTAGATGTTTTTCATAGACTGAAACCTAAGATGCCTGTTGTTTTTGTTCCTGTTTTACATATCTAATTTGTGAGCTGGTAGGAATAGTTCAAAAGTAGTTTATTTTTTCTACTTGTAAAAATTATTTGTTATGATGTATAAGTTTGTTATTGGGCTTATCAGTAGCCTCGGGGCCTTGCTTCTTGTACTCAATTATCCATTTGAGAGTAGTAAGTAAGTTCTCTGACCTTTAACATTTTATTGTGAAGTGAGGATAATAAAAAATGCTGTGAGGATGAAATGATAGTAGGTTTTTAAAATATTATAGTATGCTGTACAAATGTATGGTATAGGTTGTTAGCTTTGCATAGTAGTAAGTCCTTTACTCTATTTTGCCTGCATCCTTGTTCTATATTAAGAAACACACAAAAACCCTTGAATTTCCTCATCTGTAAGGTGATGGTTATAACTTAGGTCATCAGAGGTCTCTTACTGCTTGCTTCTTCAAGGAGTAAATAAACAGCTAATAAGGTTCTAAGTGCTGAATTCCATCAATAATTACTAACCTCACCGACCTTTAAAAATAATTTATCATGTAAGATGAGGATGAATAACTGATGTATTAAGAAGAACAACCATGATTTTGCTTCTTTGTTATAGTAGTGTCCATTTATAGCATGGTATTAGGGATAACATATAGACACATTCAGGAATGTCATAGTTACAAACTTTTCATGTTATGCTTCTTTCTATTGGGTCTTTGTATCACCTTTGTATTTAAAATAGTACATTTATATCTTGTGACTTCTAATCACGGAGTATGATTTGACCTAAATTTGTAGCAAATCTAATATAGTGAATAATATACTGTCTTTGAAGTTTTAAGAGCTCCGTATGCTGGGCTGGTGGAATGACTCACTTGGTAGGGTGCCTGCCTAGCAAGTGTGAGGCCTTGAGTTCAAACCCCAGCATCACCAAAAAAAAGAGAGAGATCTCCATATGCTTCTTTTGCTTGAGGTGACATAGGAGAGACTTAGGAGAAGAAAAGAGAATTTCATTAATTAAGTGCCCTGTAATATTTTGGTGAAAAATAGACTATATTGAATTAACATAAGAAAAATCTAAACAGGCTGACCGATTTAAGTACTAGAGTTTAATGATTGATACTTTTATTTCTTTCATTCACATTTTTTTTATCAATGGTAATGAACAAGTTTGCCTAAGTATTCATAGTTTCACATATTTATCAGTTAATAGTTATGTTTCTGTAACAATATACATTTATCTTAAAGGTGTAAAACCAAGGAAAAGAAAAACTTTTGCTTTGCCAGGAATAATTAAAAAGGAAAAGGATGCAGAATCTGTGTAAGTATTTTAAGTACTGCCCAAATCCTATTCATTGTTATTAAATGATTAAGAATAAGAGTTACTGTGAATTTTGTAAGAAAAATTCTTTTGGAAATAACTCAAAGTATGTGTCTAAACTGTGAAAACCACAAACCTTTCTAAGTAAATATATTTGCCAGTTCCTCTGGTTTTAGTTCAGATTATTACCTTTCTTATTAGTTCCTTTAAAATTTTAAGACATTATATTGAAGGCTGTAGTGTCTTGAAATTGACACTTTTAAAGTATTCTTATTTTTATAAAATGATGCATGCATAGTTTTAAAACATAAATAAAGGTACAGAGAAAACTAAAAGGTCACCAGTCTTACTAACCTAAAGTAAAACCTCTGGTCAACTACTTTTTTTTTCTTCGTAATTTAGAGAATACTTTATTAGTTTCTGTAATTAAATCCATGTAGATAAATCTGGTCAAGTATGCGATGAAAAGCCTGTAGACAGCTGTAAGCAAACAGATACATGGGGGGGGGGTATATCTATGCATCAATAGAAAATGTTCAGTGAGGGAGGAGCCCTAACATCTTTTATCATTGATAGTAGGTCTCATTTTTATGTGGAATCCACTTTGAAGTCTGACTTTTAAAAGTAAGAAGTCAGCTTGAAAGAATATAATTACCATATAAGAAATTGAGCTTGTATTACTAGCTAAACAAAATTTTCTACCTTAGCTACACATTTGAACGACCTGGGATATTAAATATAGGCCAACTAGGATCCACCTCAGACCAATTAAATCAGGTTGTCTGGCGTGGGGCCTTAGCATAGTTCTGTCTTGTTTTAAGTACCCTGTGTTATTCTTACTGTAAGCCCAGGCTTGAGAAACAGTGAGCTGTGATTAACCAGTGACAAACTGGAAGTAAAGGAATCTTTATTTCTGTAATTACTCAGTCGATTTAGACTGAAGAAACACTGATCAAAAAGTCTTGAGTGACTTTTGTAAACCTGGCACATTGTCTGAAAATTACTTTAAAATTCCTACTTTTCTAGTATAATCGGTGGAACTCTTAGGAGTTTAGTATTTTGATGGGTACATATTTTCAACGTGAGAGAATAATTTGTGCTTTGGGTGTTTTTACCTTCTACCTAGTTACAGTCCTAATATCTAAATTTCTCAAAAGCTTCTCCTATTCTAAATGTCTCCTCCCTCGCAAGTGGCATTTGGTTAACAAAATTAAGACTAATTGCAAAGTAATTTACCGTCTTTTCTTTGAGAATTATGAAGAAGATATTTTGCTAAGATGACAGAATCTAGAAAAATACATATTGAAGAATTTCCCAATATGATCATTAAGCCATTAGGATATTGTCCTCCTTTTCTTTTTTTCCTTTCTTTCCCTCCCTTCCTCCCTCCCTCCCTCTTTCTTTCTTTTTGACAGTGTCTTGTTATGTTGCCCAAGGTGGCCTTGACTCCTGGGCTCAAGTAATCCTCCTGCCTCTGCCTCCTGAGTAGCTGAAACTATAGGTATGCATCACCACACCTGTTTTGTTTTGTTTTTAACCAACTGAGAATACAAGAGCACAAAGACAATGCTGAAACCTGTTTACATCCTCACCCTTCTTTCAAACTTCTTGGCAGGAAAAAATGCTAAAATTTACTTGCTTGAAGTGCCAGATGCTCTTGGCCTGCCTCTTCCTTATAGCCCTAAGGCTTTTGAGATATCAGTAATTGGAAGATGGGTCCTACTGGAGAGTTCTAGTTCAAAACCAGAGAATAAAGTATTTGGAACTTTAACATTTTGTGTTTACACTGTGGCTTTTTTTTTCCTTTTTAAAAGATGAAAGTAAAAGTGTTCTAACATCCTGATTGTTTTTGATACTCTAGAAGGATTGAATTTATTATTATTGTGTCTTTTCTAGAACATTTCCTTAAAGTATGCATCAATTTTTCATAGTATTCCTCATCTACCAGTAAGGAAGCTGCAGTTGACAATTTTAAGTGACTTTTTTTTTTTTTTTTTGAGTCTGGGTCTTGCTTTGTTGCCCAGGCTGGTCTTGAATTCCTAGGCTTAAGTGATCCTCCTGTATCACTTTCTGGGGTAGCTGGGATTACAGGCATATGCTACTAGGCTTGGTTTTAAAATAATTTTTGAGTGGATGGATTTAAGGATACCTGGGGATTGCATTTACCCTCTTTGGCACTTCAATTTGGATTAAAAGCCTCTTCCAGCTTTTTCATTTTAAAATCTAACCCATCCTGTCTTCCTTTAGCAGAACTTCGGTTTGAAGCTTTTTCTGGTTATGCAGTCTTTGGATTGATGGAGATTACCTGTTCTATAAGATTCTGATAGTATTTGAATTAATTGTCTCAAGTCAAAGATCCAGCTGTCTTTTAAATCTGCAGTCTAATTTCTGTGTGTTTGTTTTAGATTGTACACACAGAAATTCTTCTAACCTTATTCCTCATGACCTTGGTGACCTTAACTTTATGGATTTGGGTCTTTATGTTTTAGCTTTATGTTTAAAAAAATAGTTTTCACTAACTTATGTGCAAATGCAATATTTGTTCATTAGTTGAACGAAGAATCAACTACATATTGCATTAAACTAGAAAGTCATTCTAGTTGAAGTTACTCATTTAACATGTTTGGAGAAAATTAGGGTTTTGTTTGTTTATTTGATTCTTTTTTCCACGTTTTTATTAGGATATATTTGTTGTATGGGGGGAAGAAAACTAGTTTTGACTTCTGTATATTCTAAGTTTCGAAATTATGAAAAATATTTCAAATGAAATTTTGAGGTGTTTAAGCTATTTGTTCAAAATTTTCATTTACCAATAAATGTAAATTTATCAACCATCTTTACGTTTTTAGACTGCTTTGCCTCTTTAAATGCAGACCTTGTTTTTAAATGCCAAGTGTTTTTTCTTTAAGGAATTAAAATTTTTTTCTCAACTTGGGAGAATAAAAAGTTACTAGAAAGCTTATATAGAACTGACAATTTCTATGATCTAAATATATTCACAGAGGAAAAGTACTGTTGAAAGTAGTTTTTAGGATATTTGTAAGCTGTTTGAGTTTTGTTTTGTCATGTATTATAAGTATAGGAATACCTTCTTTAGAATTTTTAAATGATTTGGTATATTTTAATCTTCATGATTGGATTTCTCTAAGTTATGTTTGAATACCCAGTTAAATATTTTAAATACAGTATAATTAGCAGACAGCTCTAATAGTTGAATGTTTCTGATACTTTGTTTGTTTTAATAGGGAATGTCCTGATGCAGATTCACTCGTAAGTAGATTTAACTTTGACATAATTTAAATTAGCTATTTATATTTAAAAAGCTTAGCATATTTGAGTTATTAACCAACTTTAAAAGACAAATACTAACCATCTTATAAATTCACCATTAAAATTATTTTAAACATGCATTTTTAGTTTTATATTGACATATACTTTCCTATTATTTAATAGGAAATTTCTGGTTAGAAAGAATTTTTCACTGACTTTGAAAAACATTTTTTTAAAATTTCTTTTATTCATATGTGCATACAACGTTTGGGTCACATCTCCCCCCTTCCTCCCACTCCCTCCCTCTCTCCCCCTAACCCTTTACTACCAGGCAGAAACTATTTTGCCCTTATCTTTAATTTTGTTGAAGAGAGAGTATAAGCAATAATAGGAAGGACCAAGGGTTTTTGCTTGTTGAGATAAGGATAGCTATACAGGGAGTTGACTCACATTACTTTCCTGTACATATGTGTTACCTTCTAAATTAATTCTTCTCGAACTAACCTTTTCTCTAGTTCCTGGTCCCCTTCTCCTATTGGCCTCTGTTGCTTTAAAGTTTCTGCATTAGTTCCTTTGCATTGAGGGCAACAAATGCTATCTTGTTTTTTTTGGGGGGAGGCGGTTTCTTGCCTATCCTCATACCTCCCTTGTGTGCTCTTGCTTTATCATGTGATCAAAGTCCAATCCCCTTGTTGTGTTTGCCATTGATCTAATGTCCACATATGAGGGAGAACATACGATTTTTGGTCTTTTGGACCTGGCTAACCTCGCTCAGGATGATGTTCTCCAGTTCCATCTGTTTACCTGCAAATGATAAGATTTCATTCTTCTTCATGGCTGAGTAGCATTCCATTGTGTATAAATACCACATTTTCTTAATTCATTCATCGATAGTGGGGCCTCTTGGCTGTTTCCATAACTTGGCTATTGTGAATAGTGCTGCAATAAACATGGGTGTGCAGGTGCCTCTGGAGTAACCTGTGTCGCATTCCTTTGAGTATATCCCCAAGAGTAATATTGATGGATTATATGGCAGATGTAGGTTTAGATTTTTAAGTAGCCTCCAAATTTTTTTTTTCCAGAGTGGTTGTACTAGTTTGCATTCCCACCAGCAGTATAAGAAGGTTCCTTTTTTCCCCACATCCTCACCAACACCTGTTGTTGGTGGTGTTTCTAATGATGGCTATTCTAACAGGGGTGAGGTGGAATCTTAGTGTGGTTTTGATTTGCATTTCCTTTATGGCTAGAGATGGTGAGCATTTTTTCATGTGTTTTTTGGCCATCTGAATTTCTTCTTTTGAGAAAGTTCTGTTTAGTTCAGTTGCCCATTTCTTTATTGGTTCATTAATTTTGGGAGAGTTTAGTTTTTTGAGTTCCCTATATATTCTGGTTATCAGTCCTTTGTCTGATGTGTAGCTGGCAAATATTTTCTCCCACTCTGTGGGTGTTCTCTTCAGTTTAGAGACCATTTCTTTTGTTGAGTAGAAGCTTTTTAGCTTTATGAAGTCCCATTTATCAATGCTATCTCTTAGTTGCTGAACTGCTGGGATTCCACTGAGAAAGGTCTTGCCTATACTTATTAATTCCAGAGTATTTCCTACTCTTTCCTGTACCAGCTTTAGAATTTGGGGTCTGATATTAAGATCCCTGATCCATTTTGAGTTAATACTGGTATAGGGTGATAAACATGGATCTTGTTTCAGTTTTTTGCAGACTGCTAACCAGTTTTCCCAGCAGGTTTTGTTGAAGAGGCTGTCTTTTCTCCATTGTATATTTTTAGCACCTTTGTCAAAGACAAGTTAGTTATAGTTGTGTGGCTTCATATCCGGGTCCTCTATTCTGTTCCACTGGTCTTCATGTCTGTTTTTGTGCCAGTACCATGCTGTTTTTATTGTTATTGCTTTGTAATATAGTTTGAAGTTGGGCATTGTGATACTCCAGCATTGTTCTTTTGACTGAGTATTGCCTTGTCTATTCGTGGCCTCTTGTGTTTCCATATAAATTTAATGGTAGATTTTTCAATCTCTTTTATGAATGTCATTGGAATTTTGATGGGAATTGCATTAAACATGTAGATTGCTTTTGGGAGTATAGACATTTTTACTATGTTGATTCTACCACTCCATGAGCATGGGAGATCTCTCCACTTTCTATAGTCTTCCTCAGTCTCTTTCTTCAGGATTTTATAGTTTTCCTTGTAGAGGTCATTCACATCCTTTGTTAAGTTTCCTCCTAGGTATTTGCTTTTTTTTTGAGGCTATTGTAAATGGAATTGGAAAAACAAACATTTTATTTTGAAAATGGAATGTTGCCATATCAGCATTTTTTCCCTTAAGAACCATGCCAAGTAGCAAATCCGCATCCTTTATTTTAAAATGTTGTGCTTTTACCGATTTAGTATTAGCTCTTAAAATACAGCCTTACCTATTCATGCAGTTGGGTTTCAGTTCAGAGATTACCATTTCAGAAGTAATAGCAAAAATAACCATGGTCACTGTTTTTCTGTGCTTCTTGTTTTAAAGAAGATTTGTTTCTATTACTTGGTTAAATGTATTTTTTGCATATAACAAAAAGATGTCAAATAGAGCTTTTGGTGGATACAGGGAAGGAGTAGATTTGTCACATGCTGTAAGATACATGTCAACAGACACATTTTTCAAACTGTTATTGGATGCTGATCATTTTGATAAGTGTAGGAGTCTCACATACTCTCTCTTTTGCATACTGGTCTTGCTTACATAACTTATTTTCTTTGGCCCCAAAACATTATGATCTTTTCTGGTGTAGTTGTATAACAAAATACAGAACGGAAAGTATTTTGTGGAACATTGTGTTTTACGTATCTTATGTTGGGTACACTAGCATTCTTATTTCATATTTCAGCTTTAAAATAGGAAAATTATGGTTAATTTATATGAAAACTAAAATGGATTTCTAATGAGGTTTGGAGTCAAAATCTTCAGTGTTTTTAGAGTTGCAACATTTATTTGATCCCTTGGTGAACTGGTTAATGAAAGAATCAGCAGATTTGTTTGGCATTTACTCTCGTTCTCATCATTCATTTTATTCTGTAAATAATTATTTACTTATAGCATTTATTTGATGATTGAAACATTGAACAAAATCCTTTAGTGCATCATGTTTATTTTACATATACTTCCCTAAGTATTTTTAATTCTCAGTTAACTAATTGTTACTGTTTTTGTAATGGTAAATATTATCCAGATTTGAACTTTAGCCAGTACTTACCAGGAGTTAGGAAAGGGCTAAAGAGAACACAAAATTTTAATGCCATGTAAGAAAAGAAAAATTTGTAAAATTAGAAAAACACACCTTAAAAGGATTTGAATTAGTAGACAAACTGGAAGATTTTGTGTGTGTGTGTGTGTGTGTGTGTGTGTGTGTGTGTGTGTGTTTTGGCAGTACTGGGGTTTGAACTCAGGGACCTCATGCTTGCTAGGCAGACGCTGTACTACTTAAGTCACTCTGCTAGCCCTATATTTTCAAAACTTGTTACAAAGGGTTACTTACTTTCATTTCTAACTTTTTAAAAAAAATAAAATCAGTACACAAATTAAGCAAGTATCTTGTAAGAAAAGGACATAGGATAAAAATAGGTAGTTTTCATAAAAATAAATAAAAGTGCTGAATAACCATAATGACTGTTACTCAAAACTGATGCAGATTGAAATGAAACTACTGTAGTTTCTAATCATATTGGGGAAAATTTAATATATTATGTACAGCGTAAATTGTTATTAAGCGTATGTGGATAATTTGGCAATATACTTTAAATAAATGTACATTCTCTTTGATCCTATAGAAATTTACTGATATGGCCATATTTACAAAACATCCTGTCTTTACCATATATACACACATACACACCCTTGATCAAGGCATATACATATATAGAAGGTGAAGGAGAAGAGAGAGACATGCTTACTTCTACATTATATTAGCAAAAACCTGGAGCATTGAATATCCATCAAAATGAGAACTGGTTAAATAAATTATTAAGCAATCACTTGATGGGGTAAGAGTCAAGAATTAGGTTGTGAGCTGGCCTTACCCATATATTAATTAAAAGCAACAATATACTATTTTAAAAAATAAAATATAAATATGTAGGCATATGGCGTTTTTCCCTTTTTTAAGGAATAAGTTACGAACAGTTACGGTTACCTTTGGGCCAAAAGCATTATAGTTGGGTCAGCAGGAATGGAGACTTGCATTTTTTTTGTTGTTCCCTTTTGTTTTGGGCCAATTATTGTTTTATTTGTGACTGTATCTATGGGCCTTGTTTACAGTGCGTTCTAGTAAGAAATTATTGTTTGTTTCCTGTCCTCTTCCAAGTCTATGTTAATTTTTAAAAATTAATTGAGGGACTTAATCTTTTTGAAATTAACTAAGGAAGTGTAAATTGTTTCTTTTTTTTGCCATTATCCCTATGGGGTATCAAGTGCCACCACACAAGTGTCTTTAAAATTAGCAGGTGAAATTGCCCATTGTGATCTTTTCCATGCTGCTTTTGACCTAATGCTTAACTCTAGCAGTGGACCCTAGTGTAGAAACCATGAGTGAATGAGTAAAGACATCAGATTTCTATGAATAGTCCTAATACTGGAAAACTAGTGTGCTTAAGAGTCTCTGCTTAAAAAACCCTTTATATTTAGAAATGATTATAGGGTTTTAGAAGGTTGCCAAGCTAGTACAGGTATTATGCCAAGCTAGTACCAATACTGTGCACCTATTACCCCTTTCTCCTGATGGTGACATCTTAAAAAAACTTTCATTTAGTGTCACAACTAGGCTGTTGACCCCACTAATTTCAGTCAAAACAGAATGTTTTCCATGACCATAAAGATCCCTTATGTCAGTTGTCTTTTTACAAAGCCCCACCCCCAGTTTAACCTCTGGTAGCCATTAATCTCTTGTCCGTGTTTGTTTTGTCAACTCATGGACATTGTACGAAGGGAATTGTATAGCACCCTTTTAAG